GTTCAAAATACTTTCTAATATGAGTTTTGATTCCTTTGGATTCTTTAGAAATGTTCTACTTATTTTCCAAATATTTGCTGATTTCTAGATAACTTTCTTTTATTAATTTTTTTAACTTTGAGATATAATTTATATTCCATAAAGTATATAATTCAGAGGGTTTTTTCTGGTGTTTTTTAAATTTTCTTACTGAATCCATTAAAAAAAACACACACACACAATTCAGAAGATTTTAGTATATTCACAGAGGTGTGTAAACATCACCATATAACTGATTCTGGAACATTTCATCATCCTTAAAAGAAAATAAGTTCCCATTATCAGTTATCCCCCCCCCCATTTCCCCTTCCCATAGCCACTGGTAATCACTAATCTAACTTTTTGTCTGTTTGAATTTTCACATATATGGATTCATACATGAGATCTTTTGTCTTGATTCTTTCACTTAGCATGTTTTCAAGGTTCATCATGTTGTAGCATGTATCAGTACTTCATTCCTTTTTATGGTTAAATAATATTCTGTATGAATATACATTTTATCTATCCGTCAGGTGATGACTTTGTACATTTTAGCTATCTATGTATATAATCTATATATATAAAAGGCTAATATGCAAAGTGTCCCCGTGGGAGTTGGACTGGGAGTTCGATTGCTCGCTATGACATGCTTTGACCACCAGGGGGTGGCGCGGAACAAAGGAAGGCCCCGGCCAGCAGCTGGAAGGCTCTGATCTGCCCTGATCGCTGGCCAGGCCTAGGGTCCCTACCCGTGCTTGAATTTCGTGCACTGGGCCTGTAATTATGAATAATGCTATGACTATACTTTAAAAAGTTTCCCAGTTGTTTCTAATATGCAGCAGAGTTGAGAATCAGATGTAAAGCTGATGATGGGCCCTGGATTTGCACACCAAGACTGTATAATATTTCACACCACTTCTTTTGGGACAACATGACTCAAGAGTGGGCATGCCCTCCAGCCTCATGAGCTTTTTAAAAAATGGTACCCCAATCACAGTGTAACTCAATCAGTAGGCTCCCCTTGAGTGATTCATGAAATGATACTACTTGCTGTAAAACTATCAGGTACACATACCATGAACAAGGCAAAAGATGTCATAAATCCTTCTTTCGTGAGCTCGCATGTGCCACCATATTCTACCTGTAGGTAATTGCTGAAGTAGAGGTACAGGACTCCTGCAATGATCAAGCAGAACCTTCTATTCCCAAGAAACCTTGCAATGGGCACACTCCCCAAATGACACCTAGAACCACAGCAATAATCTGTCTGAACCAGTAAATCACATCTAAAAATTCATCCTTGTTCTCCCAGGCTGCGTCACTTCGCAGCACCTTGCTCCACACAGAGACTTTGTGGCCCTGTTGTCCAGCTGAGGCTGAGGCGACTCCTCCTTCCACCTCCTGCCACTCATCCTATCTCTGCCCCCCTCCCCCCACTGGGCCTGGGGCATGCTGGCCAAGCCAAAAGGAGTCGGGGTCTGGGGTCGCAGGTCACAGCATTCTGGGCAGCAGTGGAGGCTCTGCAGTCTGGCTCAGGGGCGCGCCACAGCTGCCCGCACTTGGCCAAGCAGTTGGCTCAGCTCGCTCTCCTTTTATTTTTAATTTTATTTCATTGTAGTCAAAAAGTATAACTTTGTATGACTTGAATCCTCTTAACTATATTGAGGTTTGTCATATGGCCCAAAATATTGTCCTTCTCGGTAAATATTTCATGTGCACTTGAGAAGAATATATATTTTGCTGGTGTGGGGTCGTGTGTTCTATAGATGTCAATCAGGTCAAGTTGATTAATAGTGTTGAATGTACTGTGTTTTTTCTGATTTTCTATTTGTTCTATTAATTATTGAAGGAGAATTTTGAAATCTTTGACTATAATTATGGATTTATTCTTTTCTCTTTGCAGTTTGATTGGTTTTTGCTTCTTGTATTTTGAAATTTTGTTATTGGGTACATAAATATTTAGAATTGTTATGTTATCATAATGAATTTATTTGTTTATCATCATGAAATATCCTTCTATCACTGGTAATATTCTTTGCTCTGAAATCTATTTTATCTGATATTAATATAACCCTCCAGCTTTCTTTTGATTATCCTGTTCTTTTTCTTTTAACTAATTTCTACTTATATAAAAACCCTGGGTGGTGTTCATCATGACCAGAACCACCACGATCAAGCGGAAGGAAGTCAGTCCTGCAGGGGTTGTCTTGGCAACGGCTGCGCCCTCCCTCGAGCTGTTTCCCGGAGCTGTTTTCTGTAAAGACGGGATTTGAGGCAGGAACCCGCCCTGGGAGCGTGGAGGCATTATCTTTATAAAGTTTGCCGTGCCGGCACAGCCAAGGGTGAATCTGAGTGGGGGTGGCTGAAAGGCTTAGAAAAGACAGACAAGAGAATGAAAGCCAGGTCTCGGTGGGATGCTGCTTCTCTGAGAGACAGCGACCACACCCACAGCCATGCCTTTATCTTATAGCAGATGCTATGAGGCAAAGTAAGGGCATGACCAAGATGTTTACAACATTCTCCTGGGTTTCAATCCTACTCAACTACATGCACCTGAACTCTGTCAAGCCTACATCACTCAGGCACGTGGGGCCACATGTTCGGACCATAGGTTCAAGCTTACAACTACAGCTGTTGGCTATAATTGTGCTGGGAGGGCCCTGCCCTCCAAGCTGGGACTTGCACGTGGCAATGAGAGGACTGTGCCCTCTCATCAGTCCAAGGCTTGAACCTGTCCAAA